ACACATGTTTTAAGCAGTACCGGCCAAGTGCACACAACTTAAAACAAACTCATGCTGCATGTCCAAAACCAGAGGCAGGGTCAGCTGTCAGAGGTGAAAATGAGTAGCATCACCGACGTTCAGCTAGGGATAGTTGTTCAGTGAGTTTCATCCTTCCCACCAAAGGCTGAAAGGAAGAGGCCAGTGATATAGGAGTATCATGTTCAACCCTCGATGCACACGATGCACAAGACATCTCAATAATCATCAGCTTTGGCCTCTAGCCAGTAAAAAACACTCGCACACAAAAAAAAAAACGCAGTGTTTGATGTTCATGTTCAGTTTCACGCTAACAAGGACTCACGTGCATGCGAAAAGCATTCGTAGGAACTCTTCAATACTCTGCGGCGCGAGTGGTAGTAAAATGTTGTAAGAATGCGTATATCTCACAGGATCAGCTGTCAGAGGTGAACATGAGTAGCATCATTGCATCTCAGCTAGGGATAACTGTCGAACATGTGCATCACTTCTTCCAACGCTTCAAAAGGCTCTCTAAAGCATTTAAAACAGCTTCACGCGCCATCCTACAGTCAGTGTGTTGCTGCAGTATTGTCAAGCCAAGTACAACCCAACACCTCTGCGTTGAAGAGAGAATAACATCAAAAAGGTCAATTCAAGTTTCTGACCAATCGCTCTCTGAAATCTTCCCAGGAAAACATTTAAAGGCATGTTATGTTTATGATATATGTGTGTTTTCCAAGAATGGAGTCTGTCTCGACGTACATTCAGCCTACACAATCTGGCAATACAAGGTCCAAAAATGTCCAAAGTATCTTTCCTCAGTCGGAGATGTGTCACATCAAGGAAAATCAGTTTCTGACCTATTTCTCCTCGACATCATGGGATTGATTATCCTCATAGTCTAATTTTACTGTGCTCAGCGGTCCAGACATTGTGTCTAACATCGCCATCAGGCATGAACCCTGAGCGAAACGAGGAATTCCAACGACACGGAATCATCATTGCCTGAACCTTCCTTCGCTACCAAAAAAAGCGCTCGTTTTGCAAAAGTGCTCGTTCAAGCAAAAAACGCTACAAACACTCAAAAATCGCACGTGGACCCCTCTCATATCCAACCCATGTTGGGGTGGTTCGCCACTTTTTAATTTGCGCTCGTTTTGTGGCAATTTGCGCGCGTTTTGCGGCATTTTGCGCGCATTTTGCAAGTCTCCACCTTTGGCCCAAGAAGACTTCAGTGTTCAACATTTAGAAAAAATGCTCGTTTCATTAAAACTCATTCAAAAGTGCTCGTTTCATCAAAAAACGCTACGAAACTCCAAAAAGTGCTCATTTCCTTGGTTCGCCAGAAAAAAGTGCTACGATTGAAGGTTCAGGTGCTTTACTAAGTCGACAGTCTACACACCCAGCCAATTTGATCCCACAAGCCGCACGTGCTTCCAACTCCCTGCGCTTTCATGTCCTCCCACAAATGCCAGTCAGGGCAACAATCATATAGCTGACATCACCAAAAGTCAGCTTGAACTTCTGGGTCATTGTGTGGTCTCATCCTGTCCATTGCCAACAGTTCTCAGTACACACGCACAACAGGATCAGCTGTCAGAGGTGAAAATGAGCAGCATCATTGCTTCTCAGCTAGGGATAGTTGTACTACGATCTGCATCACTTCTTCCAATACTGCAAAAGGTCAAATGTCCCTAGGTCGCTGTAAGCCTGTAATTAAGTTAGATTTATGATGACGATTTATGTCATGTATGTCCCATCCTACTACTATAAGGGTGTTGCTGACAGGACAACCACACTTGCTGCTGCCTCAGCGTTGAAGAGAGAATAACATCAAAAAGGTCAGTTCAAGTTTCTGACCAATCGCTCTCTGAAATCTTCCCAGGAAAACATTTGAAGGCATGCTTGTTTTTTCCAAGAATGGAGTCTGTCTCGACGTACATTCAGCCTACACAATCTGGCAATACAAGGTCCAAAAATGCAAGGTCCAAAAATGTCCAAAGTATCTTTCCTCAGTCGGAGATGTGTCACATCAAAGAAAATCAGTTTCTGACCTATTTCTCCTCGACATCATGGGACTGATTATCCTCATAGTCTAATTTTACTGTGCTCAGCGGTCCAGACATTGTGTCTAACATCGCCATCAGGTATGAACCCTGAGCGAAACGAGGAATTCCAACGACACGGAATCATCATTGCTTTACTAAGTCGACAGTCTACACACCCAGCCAATTTGATCCCACAAGCCGCACGTGCTTCCAACTCCCTGCGCTTTCATGTCCTCCCACAAATGCCAGTCAGGGCAACAATCATATAGCTGACATCACCAAAAGTCAGCTTGAACTTCTGGGTCATTGTGTGGTCTCATCCTGTCCATTGCCAACAGTTCTCAGTACGCACGCACAACAGGATCAGCTGTCAGAGGTGAAAATGAGTAGCATCATTGCTTCTCAGCTAGGGATAGTTGTACTGCCATCTGCATCACTTCTTCCAATGCTGCAAAAGGTCAAATATCCCTGTAAGCCTGTAACTAAGTGAGATTTATGATGCTTTTTGTCATGTATGTCCCATCCTACTATTATAAGGGTG